CATCCATCCAGTCATTCAGTCAGCATCCAGTGTGCAGCCACTAAATGCCATGTCTGTGTTGCTCACTGGAACTTTCCCCATAAAGCACAGGATCCAAAGATGCAGACAGGCAGGATGCAAGTGCTTCAAAACTGGATTTTGGTTTCAAGTCCTGGTGGCACATTAGGTTAAGCATTGCGCTACTAACCCAGAAGTCCGTGGTTTGAACCCACCAGCTGCTCTACAGAAGATTTGGCCATCTTAGGCAGTTCTACACTGTCCTCCTATAAGGTCACTCTGAGTCGGAACTGACTGTGAGTTGTTTTAGGGATTCCCCAGGCATGAAGAGAATTAACTTCACAGTGATCATCAAGAAAGGCCATCCAAAACTCTTACATAGGATTTGAAGTTAACCCCAGGTCAAAAGGTTACCAGAAACTATATGAGAAATGGCATTAAGAGATCGTTTTACTTATAATTTGGTATATATAATCTTATACACTTTTAAGATTATACACACTTTCATATACAATTTTATAATTATTTTGGACGGGAGCTCTGGTAGTGTAGTGGTTACGAAACGGGCTGCAAACTGCAAGGTCAGCAGTTTGAAACTCCCAGGTGTTCCACGAGAGAAAGATGAGGCTATCTGCTCCCGTAAAGATTTACAGCCTCGGAAGCTTTGTACAGGGTCGCTATGGTTGGAACACACTCCACGGCACACAACAACAACTATACTACATTAATTAATAATTAAGACTATATGTATGGATTCACCACCAAATGGAGGAAAACGTTTTCTCAGAACACTGACGAAGCAGTTAGCTGACTCCAGTGAAACTGCAGCCATGGGAAAGCATTCCTTTTGGAGGGATTATATTTATTGTTGGAATTCCAACCAGACTACAGCACCTTGAGTTCAGGAATCCTGTCTAGCTTTGATCACCTTACTCAATGACCACACAGAGCAAAATCAAAATAAATACTGGTGTTAAATAATCATCACTGCTCTAATAACATGGCTGAAAGAAAGAAATGGATGTGTTTAAAACCATGCCTGGGCTTGGATACCTGCCTGTTGTCAATGGTAGTTTCTTTTGAGTAGTCTCCGTGTCACAACTATGCCATCGGCAGAGAACTGTTCCATAGGATATTCAAGCCTATGGCCTTTCAGAAACAGATCCCCGGCCTTATCTTTCTGAAGCAACTCTGTGTGAATTTGAATCAACAACTTTTCAGCTAATAGTTGAGTATGTAGCCACCCAGGTGATCTCTGGAAAGTTTTACAATCTCTACAAGCCTTAGTTTCCTCACCTCTAAAACAAGACTACCAATAGTTTCAATTGTGAGTTAAGAAATACCACCATCGTCATCATCATTGTTATCATGTGAAAATGTCTACTTTAGAATGAGAATTTATATGCTATTTATAAGTTATAGAAAAGGTTTGCTTCTTTTAAAAAGTTTGTTTCAAATTCATTGTACATTATCGTGACATCTTGATTGACTTATAATCAGTCTCTTCCTTTGCCTTACCAATTCACAAACGTTCTTTGCTGATTTCACCATGATATCACACTGTCTTCTACAATCATAATTTCCTGGTGTGTAATCACATCAATTATTAAGTCAGAGGAAAGAGTCAGATAAACTTGTTTGCATGCATTTTTGCAATCAGAGCTTTTGACTGATGCTGTGCTTTGAATATATAAATAATGATGTCTATTTCAACCTTACTAATTCCAAATTGTTACTAATAAGACCCAACATATTTAGTGATATGTTCTAAAAACACACTATTTTGAGTTTCAGTATTTCCAAACCCATTGCTCTTTGATCTAACTGCAACCATGTGTTATGAATAAAGATTGAATCAGGATTTCCCTAAAATTTACTTAAAGACAATGTTTAATCATCACATTCCTTGGCTGCATGCTAATATATGCATGCTTAAAAGGGATTAAAATCATTTTTATGCTAAACTTAACGCTCATCAGACTGGTAAATTGGTAGTCAAATTATTTTTTCTATAGATACTGCAAAAATAAACACGTGAGATCTCCTTATTAAATTAACACTGGCGAATTAAAACCCAAAGTAGAAGAAAGATGCTTTCTTTGTATAGATTTTCAATTATCCACAACAATGCTAATCAATGAAATTGATGGTGGTGTGAATGAACAGGATGGGTTATTCCTATTATTGGAGTTTTCAACAACAATTGCATGTTAAGAAAATTGGGGAATCTTTCATGAAATATAGCATTGAATTAATAAAATTAGCAACCAAGCACCATACTCTAATTTCTATACAAAGTCAGTTAAGCAAATACTTTTAGTGAAAATCACTGTTGTACTAAAGCTACTTAATCACTTCATGCCTCAATTTTGTTACCTTTTAAGTGAAAATTTGATCAGTATCTCCCTCATTGGATTGTTCAAAACATTAAACGTGGGAATGTGTATATAGTACTTGGCAATAGAACATTCTCAATTGTTATTAGCTATGTGGAGCTATAAGGAGCTCTGGTAGTGTAGTGGTTATGAGTCGGGCTGCTAACCTCACGGTCAGCAGTTCAAAACTACCAGCCGCTTCACGGGAGAAAGAGCTTCAGAAATCCTACACAGGGTTGCTATGAGTTGGAACCGACTCCACAGCACACTACCACCAACAACAACCATCACCACCACCATGTGGAGCTATGTGGAGTTCTGGTACGGTGCTGCAGGATAAGCACTGGACTGCAAGGTTTGTTTGAACTGCAAGGTTGGTAGTTCAAACTCACCAGTGACTCCTCAGAAATCCTATACAGAGTCGCTACGAGTCGGGACCAAGTAGAGGACACTTAACAACAGCAACAACAATGTGGCACTATGTGGGTCCTATAGGATATGTACTGGACTGCTAACTGCATGATTAGAGGTTCAAACCCAACAGTCGCTCCTTGGAAACCCTATACATGGTTGCTAAGGCATCACTGGATTTCTGGTGTGGCGTTGTCAGACCAGCACTGGACTCTGAACTTTAAGGCTGGCAGTTCAAATACATGAGCTGCTCCTTGGAAAATCTATACAGAGTCACTGTAAGTCAGAGCCAACTCCATGGCACTTATCAACAACATTACAGCACTAAACAGCAAAGTTGATGACAGTGCTGACAACCGTGAGAAACTAGCAATATAACACATACATTTGTGCTGCCAGTGTAAATATTTGTGGGAGAACAGGAATTGTAAATAACTGACTTTTTTTTTTTTTTTTTACTTTGCATTGTGCACTGGGTGAAGGTTTACGTTGTAGATCACTGGTCTTTGATTCAACAATCCATACACACTTTGTTTCATCTCACTGACTGCAGTCCCGTCGATGTATCATGACTTAGCCCACTTCCTCCGTGTGTTTCCTGTTTCCTTTCCTCCTTATTTCCTAACTCTTCTGAATATTGTCTTTGGGTAGATGCTACCCTTCTGATTGCAAACAACCAGTTATTTTACGGTGCGAGTACCTCACACGTGTTTTTGATCCCTTTATCAACCTGATCTGACTCCTTGCCTCAATTTTCAGCCAAAGACCTGACAGTCTTGTAGACCAATTTAAAGTCCTACTATGCATAACTCTTAAGTGGAGCTTGGGAATATACCTGTGAATGCACATTTGAAGTTGCATTTTTTAAATATCAATATAGCAAAGTGGATCAGTATCTTCTAAAGCTGAACTTTCAACATATGAGGGGCCTTCATAAAATCTGTAGAAAAAATAGAATTTAAATAGAATTTTTCCATGAACTTCTTAAAGTTCCCACATATGCTGCCTGCTTTCACATGATGATAGGAAAAAGAAAAAATAATCATTCCTGAATTGTTGGCCTGGATTTTATCTTAGTATGTATACTATCAGAAATCCTAAAGCTTTAGGAAATCATTTCATTTATCATTTATAAAAATACACTAAAAATACACTCAATTGCATCTATCACATTAATGAAGTTGTGAGCGATTTCATTCTACTTAGATCAACAATCAATGTACATGTATTATATTTGGGCAAATCTGTTGCCAAACCTCTTTGAAGTTTTTAAAGCAAAGTTGTCACTTAGATGATAAAGATTTATTTGGCCCAAGTCCATGGTCTTTTTAATTGCCTCATAATTATAAGAAAACTGGACAATGAAAAGGAAAAATAGAAAAAGAATTGATGCCTTTGAACTGTAGTGTTGGTGAAGAATATTGAATACACTGTGGACTGCCAAAAGAACGAGTAAATCAGTCTTCCAGAAGAAATACAGCCAGAATGGTCCTTAGAAGTTAGTATGGAAAGACTCCAGCATGATTAATTGTTAAAATAGGACATTGTTGTTGTTGTTAAGTACAGTGTAGTCAGTTCCGACTCATAGTGACCCTGCACAGAGTCTCCGAGGCTGTAAATCTTTATGGGAGCAGAACGCCTCATCTTTCTCCAGCGGAACCACTGGTAGTTTTGAACTGCCGACCTTGAGGTTAGCAGCCCGATTCATAACCACTATGCTAGCAGAGCTCCTTACGTCTAGTAAAATAGTGAGCCAAGGAAAACAAAGGAGACTTTTGATGACAAAGATTGATACAATGGCCGCAACAATGGACTCACACATACTAATGATCATGAAGATGGCACAGGACCTGGAGAGCTTTGGTCTTACTCTATGAAGGTCGCCATGAGGCAAAGCTGACTCCATGGTAACCAACATTCACCTCAACAACGTTTAGCACATTATTAAAGAAACACAGATAGATCTGAATGAACACGGCAAATTAAGATTTTCCCAAAGGTGCACACTCAGCTTCACATGGGGTCTCTCCCCAAAGATGCAGCGATAGATATTATGGAGACAAAGATAAATGTGGTTTTGGGTTTACAAGGGCTTAGAGTTAGAGTTATGTCACTCAGTGAGAATAATGACTTGGACTGACTATTTAAAATGATAAAGAAGGCTACCATAAATGCAAATGATTTTGCTTGCCATCTGAAAAAGCAGCATATACATACGTGTTTTCTTGGTTGTTGCATTAACTGTGGCACTAAAGGGACCAGTCCCAGCACTATTGTAAGCCCGGACAGCTGTGTAATAGGCCAGGTTGCTCTTCAGACCTCTGAGTTTGGCTGATGTCTCATTTCCTGACACTTTCATTTTACTGGATGATTCTTCTTCTCCTCCATTGTTATTCCAGTATCGCACCTGGTAGACAGAAGACATAAACTGCTCAGGTGATCCTTGGCTTCAGAGTCACAGAGGCAATGAAAACTAGCATGGGACTTTGACCAGATAGCCAAATTCCCTGTTAACAATGGAGCTCCTCCTTAGCTCTGGTCTCGACATGGTGCAACAATTGAAGGCTGCCATAGGGCTGGTGGTTGAGTGATTTAGCATTTAAGTTCAGTCCGAGGTGCCTCAAAAGGGGATTTGTGGCACAATAGTGAAAAGATGGAAATGGGACTCCAGGAGGAGATGGATAACAAGTAAGCAAATACATGAGTCAGATCATTTCAAAGGGACTAAATACTATAAGCATTGGACTGAATGCTAACCACAGACTTAGTGCTTGAAACCTAACACCTGCTCTACGGAAATCCTGTGCAGGATTGCTATGAGTTGGAACGGACTTAAAAACAACAACATCGCACTAGAAGTTGGAGAGTGAACGGAAAGCTTGCATCTAGAAGGGTGAGCTCGGCTCCTAATCCACCAGACCCAAGCTCAAATCCAGAGTGGTGGCAGCCATGTTTTAACAACTACCTGGTTGAGTGGAGGTTCCTTTTGTGACGAAAGTGAATAGTCTAAGAAAAGACCATAAAAAACTCAGCTAGCACATCATTCTCCTACACTGTTGGCTGCTGTTGTTAAGTGCCATCGAGTCATACACAACTCACAGCGGCCCTGCATAGGGTTTCCAAGGAGCAACTGGTGGGTTTGAACTGTTGACCTTTGGTTCACAATCCAGTGCTAATTCTACAGTGCCACACCAGGAGTCCTCGTTAATGGCTAGGAGTCAACAAGTCTACCTTGGTACTCTAGAGTGTTGTTGTTGTTAAGTGCCGTCGAGTTGGTTCCAACCCGTAGTGACCCTGAACAGGGTTTCCAAGGCTATAAATCTTTAGGGGAGCAGAAAGCCTCATCTGTCTCCCATAGAGCAGCAGGAAGTTTTGAACTGCTGACCTTACAGTTCACAGCCTGATTCGTAACCACTACGCTACCAGAGCTCCTTGGTACTCAGATCTGCTACAGAGAAAGGGAAGGCAGTTAAAGCATTTGTTCTGAAATAGAAATATATACTAAAATGCTTTATGTATATTTTATTATTCAAATCCATGCATAATCATCTATAATTTCTTGCAGGGATACCTACGAGGTACACAAATAAAAACACAAGTAAGAATATTTGAGAGAAAGAGAAATCTTGACAGAGAAAATCAAATAAAGACACACCGAAGGCTGCCGAGTCAATTCTGACTCACAGTGACACGGTAGGACAGAACAGAACTGCTCCATAGTATCTCTGAGACTGTCAATATTATGGGAGCACACAGCCTCATCTTTCTCCCTCGAGCAGCTGGTGGGTTTGAACTTCTAACATTATGGTTAGCAGCCCAATGCTGAACTCATTGTGCCACCAGGACTCCTTAAAATAAAGATGTTACTAATTATGTTAAATGTATGTTAAAAAATAGTTCTTAATAGGCAATGCTAGAAAATTAGATGGTCCATAAAGCCCAAACCCAAACTAAAACTGACAACATTAACAACAGAGATTATCCACACAATCATAACAATACAACCAGTATTGGTGTTGAAACCATTTGATCATTTGAAGCCAAGCAGTTAGCAGAAAAATGTAAAGCAGACTGAGGACTTATTCAAAGGTTCCATGTTAATAATGGCGCCACACTACTTACTTCCAAGGAGTTTGGGTGGGGCGCTGTAGGATAAGCACTCAACCTCAAGGTTGGTTTGATCTGCAAGGCTGGTGGTTCAAATTCACCAACTGCTCCTCAGAAACCCTATATAGGGTCACTGTGAGTCAGAACTGACTCGACAGCGCTTAACAACAACAACAGCTTAGCTCTAGTCTCTGTGTGGTACAATTAATGTACTTAACTGCTAACCAAAAGTGATTCAAGTCCACCCAGAAATGTCACTGAAGAAACAGCAGACAATCTACATCCAAAATACCAGCCACTGAAAATCCTATGGGGCACATTTCTGCTCTGACACACTTAGTTATTATGAGTCAGAATCCACTTGAAGGGTACTGGTTTGGAATGAGTTCTGACTGACAGGGATAGGTAGTTCCAATGTTTACAGATAATGTGTTGTTTTCAAAAAAAGTTTACAGAAAACATAATCACAATCTTATGTGAACTGTCTTAAATTTAAGATTTGTTCAAGGTTTAAAAGCTACTTATGGGCTAAATGACATGTATTTGTGGGCTGGCAGTTTCAGTCCTCTGAACATAAGACACTAGAAGTTACTGTCCTCTTAAAAAATGAGCCATTGCGAGAACAAACAAGATGGCGGATCGGGTGGAAGTGCAGTGAGGAGCTCCGTCAGCAACAACACAGAATAGAGGACCAAGCAGGCTCAAGGGATGGTCCCAGAACTCTGAACTACACATAAAGAAATATTTAGAAGGTTGGAAGGCTTAAGCTGGGGGAATTTGTAGCAGAAGAAAGAAATCCATTGCTTTCTAATTCAAGATGCTCATCTGCTCCAGGAGCCGCTATCTTGGGTGAGACCACGCAGGGGAAGGATTGGAGAGGCCACAGACGCCTGGCAGAACTGCAGAGATAAAGGTGTGGATATTCTTTTCTTTTGGTATCAGTTCATTGGTCCCTGGCTGTCTGCGCACCTCCATTCTGGTGACTATAGGGGTGCCTGAGCTAGTGGGCACCCCAGCCCCACCCTCGGAGGGGTCTCCTACACATGCACACAAATATCCTCAACATTTAAAGAGACAGTTTCTACTTAAAACCAAATGGCCACAGCCGGCCCTGAACTGTTTATAACTAAAAAAAAAAAAGACCTAAACGGGAATTGTGAAGCGGGACAGGCAGACAAAAAAGGAAATAGGCTGAAAATTAAATCCTAAGTTACATCAAAACGACCAACAGTGGCATCTTGAAATTTCTCAAGAAGAAGAGCAAAAAGGGAAACCCATTTCCTGATCACATCTACCTGGAGGCAATCAGAAAGCATAAAAAATACCTAAATACACACCCACCTAAGTATTAAGGCCACAGATAAACCCTGACTATGCCCAAAAAACAGAAGCAGATGACCATATCTGCACATGTCCAGAAACAAGATAAAGTGACTGAGGCAAATGAGCTGGAAGCAGACCTACACTCCATACTGGAAGATGGGCAGGCTTTGGAAATGCCTGAGAAGGAATTCAGAAAAATGATTATAAAATGTATCAAAACACTATACAATGGAATTGAGAAAAATAAGGAAGAAGTCAGGAAAGCACTACAGGAACAATCAAATAAAATAGATACAGCATTGGAAGGTCAGTCTATGATCAAAACAATTACAAGGTAAAGAAGGTAAACACAGAGGAACAGAGATCCAGGTGGTGAGAAGATCAGGTAGATTACAGGATAAAATAGACTGTCTTAAATGGAGGGTAGAACTAGTGGAATATAGGGTAGCCACAATGGGGTTAGGGTGGGGGGTTTAGTCGGGGTGTTGGGAAGGAAATACAAGAAGGGGGTAGGAGGTGGAAGAACAAGATAGATAGGGGAACACTGAGACAGGTTTGCATGGCCTAGTGGGACAGAGGGAAATAGTGATTCATACTCAACCTTGGAACAACAGGGCTCTGGGATACAGGGATCTAGGTATAGCTTGAAGACGGTAAATAATACTAAAATCCTTGACTGCCTTATCAATATTAGTTTCCCTTGCTGACTATTGTAAAATAGACACTTGAGTGGGATAAAAAGGAATGTTGGGAAACATGATTAGAGAAAACTTGTAAGCCCGTCTTCAGCCTATAACTGTTTAGAATACCTAAAAGGGGTTCCACAACTCGCCCAGTGAAATAGACCTCGTGCAAACTCTTTATAGCATATAGGACCTTAGGTGGAATCCTGAGTCCCATCCAGAACCTTATGAGGTGGGACATTTCCTGAAAGATCATCAGGAAAAACCCAAACCAAAAATGTCAGCATGACTGACTACTACAAGAATTAAGCAAGCTGTTTGCCAGGAAGATATCAAGGCTAGCAATCAAGTGCCTTCAGGACAAATTCCCCTCTAAGACTGAAACTCAAAGGGAATACACAAACAAGTATGTAAGCTTGCTGGCGACCACATTGGTCACTGGTGAGTGGAAGAGACGGAAAGGTATCAATGAAGAAATGGGCTGAGTTCAACCCCAGTCCAATGACTCCCATTGACCTGGAGATGAAAGAAAGAAGAGGAAGGGCTGGTTGGTCGAAAGTGTGGTGACAGTTGAGGACACTTGAGCCCATGGACAAGGACTTAGCCACAGAGGGCTAGAGCTGAGAGTGAAGCATCCAGCTGATATAAAGTCAGGGGAGATGCACAAGAACACCCAAACTTGCATACAGTACCCTTTTGACCTAGCCTCGATGGCTCGATAATCAGAACTTGACTAGAGGATGATTGGGAAAAAAAAAAAAAAATTTTTTTTTTGGTTAAAGGAAACAAGGGTAAATTGCTTCAATTTGATGAACCTGACCTATACTCAGAGTGGTAGTTACTCTAAATACCAACAGAGAGGGAAAGAGTCTTCACCTCAAGTATCAATGCTATCCCCTCTGTACACAGGGTAAATAGGGACAGGCAACTTAGACACTGGCTACCTAAAATGAGGGGGAGATAAAGGCATGATGTGACTGGCTTACAAGGTTTCAAGAGGGAGTTTAGTTTAAGAGTAAGGGGGTAAAGAAAGAGTCCCCACTGAATGGCTGTCATCTTTAGATCGGTCTGGTGAGAAGAGATGGGGATAAGATTCGTAAGATTCAACAGTGAATAACTGTTATCATGACTAATTGCGACTGTCATAATTGTAAAGGTAGAAGTTCTGTAACAAAAACAGGGGAGTGGTTAATCTTACAGTCCAGAAACAGAGGACCCTAGGACCATCAAGACAGAAGAGCACAAGCAGAATGCAGGACCTTATCCAGAGAAGCAGCAGCACCAGAGATGGAGG